TTGCACCATTACGGATGCTGAGCTATGGAGGCTTTTTCAGGAAAAAATGACACCCCTTGACTACTTCCTTACACAGTTTACAATAAAAGGCTTGTTTACTATTTAAACAGTTTTACTCCATTTCATTTTCATATATACCTCTATTTCAAATTTTTAATAAATAAAATTTTGTAACCGTTGTTTTATTTTCTTAGGCAGTTTTTATTATTTTTTATTATTCTTTTTTTATTTTTAACTAATTTTCTTAACCGTCCTCATCTTTTTCTTCTATCTTCTCTCCTATTTTTTTGTCTCTTTCTTCTTGCGTTTCTTCTTCTTTCTTCTCTTCTATTTTTTTCTTCTCTTGAAACATCTCACTTTTACATCTTTCTTCTCTTCTATTTTTTTCTTCTCTTGAAACATCTCACTTTTACAGAAAATTATCGCAAAATATGTTTCTTCTCTTTTCTTGCTAAACAGAAAATAATTAATTAGAACAATTTGATATATCCTGAACTAAATTCATTTGATATGTACTAAACTAAATTTATAGATACGATTCTTCTCTTTTCTTATTAAAATAGTTTGGGATGTAGGTTGTTTTATTGGAATGGCACAAATCTGGGAGACTAAAATTTCTCAAAATTGTTATTTGTTTCTTTTATGTTGTTTAATTGTTGTTTTATTATTATTTTATTGTTCATTTCACGTTGCTTTTTATAATTAATTGAATTGTTATGTATTTTTATAATCAGTTGACTAATCTTTTTTTTTTTGTTGAAGAAGAAGAAAAAAGTTTATATATATTTCATCGTTGGAAAAAAAAGAATAAGAAAAAAAAAGTTGAAGATAGGAAAAAACGTTAAAGGAGAATAAAAAGGAGGAAGAGAGAGAAAGAGGAAGAAAAAATAAGAAGAGAGAGAAAAAAAAGAGGGAGAGAAATAGAGAAATTGTCGCCAGTTCTTTTGCTGAAACCGATTCATAATTTTGTATTTTTCAATTTCTTTTATTTTTTTTTTCAGTTTTTCTAAATTTGTCTAACTTTGGAGTATATTTGGTATTGCGGAGGGATGGCTACTATTGTAGAATATTAGTATTATAGAGAGGTAGTTATAAAATTTTCCCCTTTTCCAGGGTCTACAGTTGGGTTGGGACAATGAACATAAGAAGATTATCGCCGAAGTGGATAGCTTTTGCGTGAAAAAAATAGTTTGTGGCACAGAGAATGAACTCGGGCCCCACGAAGCATTGGTTAAGGCTATTCGAAATATGATCCAATGAGAATGGGTTGTTCGAGTCCAGCACGTCCATTTTGCGGCTGATCAGATGACAAGCCTTGCAGCATCCTATCCGACGGGAATGCACCGTTTCACCTCCCTCTGTGGGGATGGGACCATGGCTCGATCATGATAATATTGGGTTGTTTTTTCCCCCGTCGAGTACTAGCTTAAGCTAGTGACCTCCTCTTTTGTACCAAAAAAAAAAAAAAAATGTCTCTATCCCATATCTTAGGAAATAATATAACTGATTGATGTAGATTTATATTCAGCTTACATTTAATTAAGTTTATAATTAGTTAAAATTATTAATCTCTTTATTTATTTTCCAACTAAAACACGAATTCAATTGCAATGCAATATTTAAAAACATAATTTGTTTAAACTAAAACATTTTTTGGATTACACATCAATTTCGTAATTGTGAAAAAATATTAATTAGAATTATTTTTTTTTTTATAAACATTATTCCGTGCACATTGATTAATAGAATCGAATATAGATAATAAAGCAAGCAATTTTGAAAATGAATTGGAAATTGTTTTTTTAGCAAACCAAATTATTTTGAAACAGAATCGACAAATAAGGTATGCAATTTTCGTGTGAACAACTTTTTCTTGCAAAATATGGGATGTTTTCGCTTTCATATTAACAATTGAAAAAAAAAATAAAAAATAAAAGCAAATGTGAAAACTGAACAGACTATCAAATTTTGAATTGATTTCTAAAAGAGGCAAGTCAAAGGTGTAACCCGTTTTATTCAATTTTTTATAAATAATTTTTTCATCAACTTATTTCAATATATATAGACAGAGATATAGGTTTTTTTTTAGTCAGCCACGGATATTCGGAGCTATGTTCCGACTAATCGGTTGGTGGATAAAGATATTAGGTTCTTTTAACTAAATTGGAAACTGTTAATCTAATAAACTTCCATATGGAAACTGTCAACGACCACAATATTTATATAGCATGAAATTGGTAATGTAATTTCAGGATTTTCATAATAATTATAATAACAATAAATTAATTATTGTTCCTGTGATGAATGGCCGCGGGATGATACTTGAGAATCCACCTCCACACCTTGCGGCTCTTCTTTTTCTTCATCACACCCCTCTCCTCCGCCGCCGCCGCCGCAATCCTGCCGCAACCCTTCCTATACCCAAACTGATCCAACGGCCCGTCTCCCCCTCCGCTGCGATCGAGGCCGCAAAATTCCGACAAGTCGACTCTCAGATCGATGAAGGCCGACTCGTCCATGCCGCGAAAATCGCTCTTCCTCGGCTCCGTGAGCACGCCACTGGTGACATCGGAGATTTTGGCGCTGGAGAAGGCGCTCCGGCTCTCATCGTCCCTGAAGCTGCACAGAGATCTCGATCTGGAGATCCCCATCGCCTCCGGGACCCAGATCTCGCTCCTCCCGTCTTCATCTCCGCCGTCCGCGTGCTTTGATTTTTTCCTCCGGAAGAGGCGCTTGATCCGCCAGAGGCCGCCGCCGCTCCTCCGCACCTCCACGCAGCTGCTGGTGCTCCGCCGCAGGAATATCACCGGCGGCGGCTTCTGGTCCCGATTCCTGTCGTTCTCGATGAGGAAGGAGACGCGGCCGACCTCGACGGCAGAGCAGTATGAGTTGCGGCGGGATGAGGAGGAGACGCCGTCTGAGCACGAGCAGGACGAGAGCCTCTGCTCCCCGCACTCGGAGCACACCAGTCTGAGGAGCCGGTCCTTGAGGCAGTAGGCGCAGATACCGACGGCCGATTGAATCGGGTGTTTCGGGCACGGCATTTCCGAGGCTGCCGAGAAATTGAAGTCGCGGTCGTCGTGGTAGCCGCCGACCGCAGCTGCTTTGCCCCTCTCTCTCATCTCTAATTTGGTAAGTCTTGTCTTTAAAGGGGGAGTTTGGATGTGTGGATTGATATTTGAAAACTGAAGGAGGGAGAGTTTGGATTTAAAGGAGAAAATAATTGGGGGATTCTTAGGCCTTTTTGCTGTCTCTAGTGTGTTGTTTTTTTCTCTCTGCTGCTCTTCTTTGGGGTTAGAGAGAGAAAAAAGATATTGCAGTGAAATTACTATTACTATGAAAATGAAAGATGGAGCAAGCAGCTAGTGTTATTAAAAATGGGACGAGTGTGCGACTCGGGTCGACCAACGGATTAATCGGAACATAACTCTAAATACCGTGGCTGGCTAAAAAAAAATGGCTATTTCTTTTGGGGTAAAACAAAAGCAGAGGTGTGAGCTTTACGTTTATTTGATTTCCTTTTTTTTTTTTCCCTTTACAAGGCAGATAAAGAAGTACAGAAGAAGAGGGTTTGGTTGGTTGATTATGGAGGAAGAGTGTAATAGTTGATATTGATGTCGGTGTTTTTTGTGGCTTGCTGTGGAGGTATGATTATGCGTGTGTTGGTGTGGGTATGTTGTGTGAAGTTTAAGTCAAATAGGAAAAGTGAGGGACAATGTTCATCATTTTAGTATTAGGTTGCGTTAGCCAACTAAACTAGTTTATAGCTTATTAGTACAACACCGTGTATTATACAGGTGTTTGTAACAAATTATTCTTAAATTTTAAGATTAATGAGAAAACTATATTAAATTTAGTTTATTTTTTTTACAAAAAAATAAAAATATATTATTATATATTTTAGAATGATATGTGTTATTTATGACTTACATGTGTTATATTATATTAGTTTTTATAACTTATATCATATAACTACTTGAAATATAAATATATTAGTTGATAAATAATTTTATTTTTCTAATTAATATTAAAAATAATTTTATTATTGTTATTAAGATAAATATAAATTATTTTTTTTATACATACAATATAGATGTTAAATTGAAGTTCATCAAAAGAAGATTAATTTGATATATTACATATGTAAAACTGATAAAAAATACAAAAGTTATTAACTTTTAAAATATATATACAATTCAATAGTTATAATAAAGAATGATATTAAAATGCAATTAATACATGTAACATGACCATAAATAATCATATTTATGGTAATTCGAACCTAATTATTTTTTGTGTGGAATTAAATTAAATTTTACCCAAGCTAATAACGAAGCATGTAATTTTGTCACATAGGATTCCGAAGCACCAGAAGCAGCCACGTAGACTCAGCGCGTTCTGGATTAATATATAGGGGTATTTGATTAACTTATAAATTTATTGTATTTAAATAAGCCTCGTTTGGTATACCAATAAGTTAGGTTATAGCTTATTTGATTGGCTTATAAGATTTCTGTATTTAAATAAGCTCCGTTTGGTAGGACGAGCTTATTTAAAAGGCTCGAGCTTATTTGATAAGCTTCTTTTGTAACTTTTCGAATAAACTCGTTGAAATTTTTGTTTCAGCTAGCTTATCAACTAATTTTACCAAATATTTTTATCATATAAGCTAACTTTTAAGCTATAAGCTATAAGCTCAAAAATTATTAATAAGCTATAAGCTAGCTTATCAGCTATTAGCTAGTTTTACCAAACTCGTTTGGTAAGACTAACTTTTTAAAAACTTTATTTCATAAGCATTTTTTAGGTAGTTTTTATAATAAGCTAGTTGAATTTTTTATTTTAAATAGCTTATCAATTAATTTTACCAAATATTTTTATCATGTAAGTTAGATTTTCGGCTATCATAAACTATAAATTATAAACTCAAAATTACTTATAAGTTATAAGCAGCTTATCAACTATTTACCAGTTCATTTTACAAACAATAAGCTAAAAAATTATATATATACTATCAATTAGTTTATCAGTTATCAGCTAACTTATCGGTTAAACGTGGAGGTCAAGATTTGTGCTTCCGTGTGTTATGTTTAAGTTGAGAGCTGAGTGTTTGTTTATGTGGGGGACGCATCATTTCAACTCTTTTTGTTTGTCTGCTATTTGCACTAAACTCTAGACATTGTATGTATATAAAGTAGAATACTACTTCAAGTGTAGTATCATTTAGTCATTTTTCTCTCCATAAATATAACACTTCTATTTATGACATTTATCATAGCACTATAGTGTAGCTCTACATTGTAATTTTATTTTAATGTAGTGTGAAAAACTTGTTTCAATGTTGTAATGCATTTTCACATTACTTAGTTTAAAGATTGAACAATATTAATGTTTACTGCACTATTTTCTTTATTCTATAATTGATTTATATTTTTGAAAATTATTTTGACAAAGTTTACATTGATAAGATTATTCATTCTGTTAAATAATTTTAGTTTTATAATTGTATTTAAGTTTTATTTTGTGCTAGTATATTTCATGTAGAGTAAAATTTAGTGTAACATAATTAGATTTTGGCATTCTCTCCAGAGTAGATGATTAAAGATGATGTGAAAGTCCTTCCCGGCTCGATTCCGGATTAGTCGATTCCCTTGTGGATCCAGAAACCGGAAGGTCTAAAAAAAAAAAAAAAAAAGATGATGTGAAAGAGCCCACAATAGTTCGTGTCTTACGTGAAATGTCGCCAAGATGCATGATCAGACAATGCAAGTTAGAGACAATTGTTGGAAGAAAATGGGAAGCAAGGGGAACTGATACGAATCGAAAGATTGATAAAATGTATAAAAATGCAAAATGATATGAAATTGTTCTATCAGTATTCTTCACGAATTCGAGCCGAGTAGGAAGGGAAGCAAGGGATCGCTTTGAGACTATAAATAGAAGGCACATCATCTATTGTAGGATAACTAGTACGTACCCCGTGCGATGCATGAGACAGATGTATTAAAGTTATTTTCACAGGCTCCCTTTAATTTTAAAAAGCAATAGAGTTGTCATCTATTTTCCACATCTTTTAATTAACGTTAACTCTAAAAAATAACAGGGTTATAATCAGCGTTTTTTTTAGCCAGAACATTAAATATGAGCATGTTAGGGCTAGCTTTTAAAAGAATTAATATATTATCTCACTAACACATTTATACTAATATAAATTAGAATGTAATATATATAATATAAGAGAAAATAACAATGATATTTATTATTGTTCACCATATAATACTAATTAATTATTATTTTATTATCGACTTCTTTGTATTGAAATGTCATTATTATTTATAAAAGTTATAGATATGTACGTCTTTTTTTCTTTTTATTTTATGTAATGAAAAACGTTTAAGCACATTAGTATTATTTATTTATGAAAAATATGTAAATAAATTTAAAATTAAATAGTGTATAAATATTTTACAAAATATACACACATGTTTTTTAAAATTCAATTTAGTATACTAAATTAAACAACTTTGACTTAGCAAATGCCAAAACTCAATCCCTTTTATAATCAAGATTTTTCTTATTTGCATTATAAGTTTATAGTTTATTTAATATACTCTGCAGTGAAAATATATTTTACAAAATTTCACTATAGAAAGTAATCAAAATAAAAATATAATAAAAAAGTATCGTGGTTGCCAATAATACAAATAAATTGTAAAGAACAATTAATATATTTCAATTTTAATTTTTGTCCATTAGCAACAAAATTTAATGTATCGGATTATTATCTATTGGTAAATTATATTAATGTGAAGAATAATAATTTTTTATATATATGAAAACAAAGCTTAAGAAAAATTTTGTTGGAAAAAATTAATTTACCAACTTGATTTCGAAGAAAAAATCTACCTACCATGTTACGATTTTTTTATAAATATTTTTCGATAAAAAGTGAATATCTGTAAAAATAAATTAATATTATTGTTAGAACTTAAAATATGTTGTAATATTTATCTTGACCAAAATATTATCAACATGAATCACGGAAAATCAATCTTTTAATTTATTATAATGTATATCAATGAAAATTATTGTAGATATTAATAAATTATTTAAGGAAACAATATTTTTAATCATATCTGATTTGATATTATATGAAAACGTGCGTATGGAAATAATTAATTTATATATTTGAAAAGTTTCCAAATAAAATGTATGCATTAAATGCTTCCAAAAATTTTTACTATTATTTTTAGTAAACTGTTGTTCTTATTATATAGATATAGATATAGATATGAAAAAGAATTGGTTTTCATGCCAAATAGTAAACTTAAATTCAATTACGCATAAATGAAAATATTCATGAAGAATTGCAACATATGTGGACAATTTCAAATTAAAATTTTATGGTCTAAAACATAACATAAACAAAAATATTTTATTTATAATATCAATGTATACTTTTGTTTGACAATATGAAAGATTCAACCGTGTAATGGTTACAATTCTGAAATAAAAGAACGTTGAGTTGATTTTTAAAGTACAATTCTTTTACATCTATTATTTGGTGTGGAGCTATTGTGCATTTAATTGTGCCTCAAACAATCTTTTTCGAGTTTAAAAGTAGACTGTTTTCTTAAGTCATAGACTTAGAAATTAATGTCACACATCCATTTCAAGATCATATTGATTGATGGATTTTTTGATTGGATGTATCCGAGGGGTCATAATATCAGTTGCACTATGGTGTGCCTTGGCACACCTTGCTAGGTGTGCCAGGCTTGATTTACACGCGCCAAACAAGTAAGAGAAAAGTGTCTGAGTTGGTTTTTATTTAACGTGGTGTCACGCGCCTGTGATGTCAAATCACACCTTTTAACATTTATTTTTTTTCTTCAATTTTCCGGCATCCCTCCTCGATTTTCCAACCGTCTTCTTCCCCCAACTGCAACTCTCTTCATTCTCTCCATTTTTCCGACTGAATTTTCTCTGTTTCAGGATCAAAAGTTCCCGGAGAAGACAATTTTAACTGAAAAACGCTCAATTTCCGACGATTCCTACTTCATAGGTAAGATTTCTTTGCTTTTCATGTCGATTAAATTTAAGTTTCATCGATTTTAAATGT